GGGGGGGGGGGGGGAGATCAGTAGGGTGAGGGGACTGAGATGATTCTATGGGTAGAGATAAAATGCAGCGATGGTCAGGGCCTGGGGCCGAAGCTGGTGACAGTTCAGCACTGTGAGGCTGGGCAGAAGGAATGACCCAGTCTTAAGGAAGGGCTAAGCTGAAAATCACATGAATTTCCATGAATAGTAAGAGCATGAGTTTAATGCTGTGAAGTTTAGCAGAGTGTTAAAGGCTGGGGGTGGGGGGCCAGGAAGGGGTAGGGGTGACATGAGAACTGTAGTTGCCGTGGATCTGAGGGATCATAGGTTTGAAATGACACTACATTTTTGGGAATATTCTTCCTGCTTGGAAGGTTCCCATGGAATCTGGGAAAGACTTCAAGCTTAAATGTCAGACTGAAGTCTCAAGAATGGCAGGATGAGGGAACTGTACAAATCAAGGGGATGTGATGGGGGAGTGAAAGTTTAATGGAAAAACAAAATGAGGTTATGCCAACAGGCAGAGGCTGCAAGATTGTCATCATTTCCCTCTTTCTCTCTTAATAATAGGAATGGAGTTGCCAAAGTGAACATATTTTTTGAGGAGTGGAAGTATAAAACCAATGGAGAGTCTCCTGCCTTCACGGTACATACTGCAACCCCTTGCCATCTCTACCAACCTGCTCTTTCTTCAGTATGATGCTCTGCTTTGGAGGCTGTTCCTTTCAGCTGCATCACTAGCATCTATGTTTTTCTTCCTGTAGAAGGATGGGGGATGGAGATGTCTTCCTAGGCCAGGCATGGATGCTTTTGCTGGGAATGTGCCTGCTAGTGAGTGAAAAGGCCAGGGCCCTTGTGCAAACCACATTATCACTCTCTCCATCTGTTTCCTTTAGGTGGTGACCCTCCTCTCCCAGCTGGGGAATCAGTGGAGCCTCTGGTTTGGTTCCTCTGTTCTCTCTGTGGCTGAGCTTGCAGAGCTGATTTTGGACTTCATCGTCATCACCTGTATCCTGTCCTTCCACTGGCTCCGCACCTGGCATAAGCCTGCCTCCACTATGCCACCCCCGGGTGGCCATGACAACACTGACTTCCAGTCCGAGGTGTCTGGCCCCAGCACCCCACACCGCTTCACTGTTGAAGCTGTTGTGACCACGTTGCCCTCCTACAACAGCTTGGAAAGATGCGAGTCCAACAGGGATGCTGAAATGGGATTGGCGTGAGGACTCTGGTGCCATATCCTGCCTACATGTAGCTCAGGGGTCACATGCACTACACCATTGATCTTGTCCTTGGGTCTGCAGCTGTGTGGCAGACCGAAGCAGGGACCAATTTCCTGCTTGGTGCTAGAGTAACTGTGGATTAGCTACACCTGTCCTTTCTTTACCTGGATCAGATCATAGCAGATCACTGCACTATTACTGGTGATGGGTTAATTTATATTCTCTTCTGGTGGCAAATTCTACAATCCTTCTCCCACAATGCAATGTCCTTAGTATCTGGTACTTACCATTGTCATGGGTACCCAGTGATGGGAAACAAATATATTGGGGTCAACTGAGTTCTTTCAGGTTCACATACACACTCTCTCTCTTTTTCCTTGTACCAAGGACACACCCACTCTGGTCTGTAACCATTAGAAAACAAGAACTAATCAAAGAGGATTTGGTGTGTGGCTTGGTTTGCCTGTGTGTAACAAGGGACAGAGGCAAGGGGATGTGAAATTCTACAACATGGATAGGCTACAAATCTGCACACATGCCTCTTCCCAGTATGGGGAACTGGGGGCTGCTTCCAAGCTCTGAGCTATTTTTCCAAAGATTTAATTGTTCTAATAAAAGATATCACATTTACCCAAAGAACCTTGTTAGCTCTGAGCTGTTAATTTTGCAGCTGAGTCCAGGCTGGCTATTTCTGCCCCTGCTAGAGTCTGGGGAGGAGGCTGGGAATACTTGCCTGGAAGTAGTTTTTCTGTGCAGTTGCCCTCACTGTGCAGACCAGTATCCTCTCCTTCACCAAATTCCAGACAGTCCCAGAGTTTGTGACTGGGTGAGGGTGGGGGGAGGAAAAGAAGGCAGGGACAGACAGGTTGGGGTCCAGTATGGATGCATGAGCTGGCTCCAAACAAGCATGCTACTGGCCAATAGAAAAGGCTATCTGCAACCTAACACACATCTCATTTCTGCACTCCATGCAGCTAATTGCCTCTTTCCTGAATGTTCTGGGACAACTTTATTGTCTTGTGCCTTCCTTAGTTAGGATCTCTAGGAAACAGAGTAGTGCCTGACATTGAGAACATACCTAGACTGAGCTGCCACAAACACTAGCTCTGGTGCACGCTATGGCAGAATGGAGCCAGCCTAGTGCAGAGCCAGGACAGCCCTTACGAGCTCATCCCTTTTGTGTTCAAAAACTGAACATTCCCCCCAATGGCAGAGAGGCTGCTGTGCAGCCAGCTCAGGGAAGGACTGATTGCAACTTGGGAATTATTAATGGACAACAGGTTTGGAGACCTTTCATTTTGCATTGCAATGAAGCACGAGAACACTAAGAAACTTTTATGGCAATCGTACAAGAGACAATGAAGCTGTAGTGATAGAATGTATAATGTAAAGATGCTCCATAACTAAGGGACTGAGGAAGTTGGTAACTGGGAGATGGATCCACAGTTAAGCAGCTGCAGGACCACAAACTGAAGGACTACAGAGGTTGCCTCCTTCTCAAAAAAGGGTGCAGACAGAAGTGCAGCTCCCAGCTGTAACTCAGAATGACTTCTGTTCTGAGAGACAAAGTTACCCTAGACCAAACACAAGTTCACTGTTGGTTCCAGGGGGAAGGGAGCCTGCAGTCAGGTTCCCATAGCAATGGTAAAGCTCACTGCCAGTGCTCGCTGCTTCCAGAAAGGGAGGGCGAAAGGCATTCTTAGGGCTCCCCAGCAGATGCTGAAGGGTGGAGTGGATGAACTGAAGCCCCCTTCACCTCGGGGGGGGGGG